GCGGCCCGGGAAAGCATAGCCATCCGGCAGTAAAAGGTGCCGTCCATGACCTGGTGAGCTCGTCATGCACTTCCGGGAAGAAAGGCACCGGGGCGGGGAGCTGAGAACCAGCGCGAGCTACCCCGAGAAACCAATCATCCAGCCTCGAGGGTTCGGGACGCGGTGGAGGTTTCCACTCGAGCCAGACGCTCTTGGCGGCCCGGGAAAGCATAGCCATCATTTCCAGATCCGAATCCGGAGGGCGGCAGCGCCGCCGGATCTTCCTCTCCAGAAAAGTCTGGCTCACCCTCCGATGCAGCTATTGGCATCCGATCGTCGGGGGGAGTACCGAAAAATACAAGTGGTACCCCCTGGGAGGGTCCAGCCTGTTCTCTTGACGGCTCCACTGGCTGCGAAGTGCCGGCGGAAGGAGGAGCCCTCGGAGGTTGGTTCCTCGGAGGGCAATTCCTCACCGTCACCGTAAGACCAGTCCGGACGCTGCCAGAGGTAGCGCTTCCCCAGCTGCCGCCAGGGGGAATCCTAGATCTCGGGAGCGGCACGGGCACCCCGCCCCTTTGCAGGAAACAAAGTCTGGTCCGCAACACCGAGATGATCATTTTCCCACAGTGGGAGCATGACTCATCCACGAAAGCCACCTCAGCGTGCTTAATGCCGAGACACGAGAGGCAGCGATCGCGACCATCACCCGGCGCCAGGTAACGACTGCATCCAGAAATGCACGGATGGAAGGGCATCTTTAAAAAGACACGTCTTTAAAAAGACGTTCCACCCGTGAATGCTCTTTTAGAACTGCTCTTTTAGTGTGCTGGAGCGCACAGGGGAGATGGCCGCCTGCAACACAAACAGGGGGTAGTGCAGCCTGATGTGTGCAACCCACTGGACACAGGAAGAACCACCGCCGCTGAAGCGCCGTACCACCAGCACGAGAGCTTCCTAAGAGCGTGCTTGTACTCGAACTCGTAGTTTCACTGAAGCAGAAGATCAGGAGCAGAACGATGAGACCACTCGGCTCCGAAGCGAAAAGCTGAACATGCACTGCACCAGCTGCCTACTTATACTCACGCTGTGATCAGCGACAGCTGGATTCAATAATCGCGTGCCAGTGTGCACTGGCTCGTTTAGTTTACACTCAAAGTGGATTGGTCTCTCTAAGCGAGATCCTAATTTGTCGGTCATCCGACGTGACTGAAAGGGAACACTTGTGTTTGTGGAAACTGTGATAAGTTTTTTGAATGACTCTTTAAGGAATAGAAAGTTCAAAAGAACAGCGTGCATTCAAAATACTGACAACATTTGTAACATTTTACTGTCAATTTGAAACAATTTAATGCATCCTTGCTGAATAAAATTATTTATTTGTTTACAGTAAAAAAAATCGTATTAACCCCAATCTTTTGAATGGTAGTATATACTTTGTCCCTGAAGTCACTATCAATCCAACATTGTAATGCAAAACCAGCTGTTGTGACATAAACAATTGAAAGCTATTTTGCCTCACAGAGAACTGTCACATTAGGAGCTGAACACGGTATTTCCAGCATTTCTCACCCATCTCTTCTGGACTTTTAGTCCTATAAGAATTAAATGGTTAGTATTTTTTTTATAACACATATATTTATGGCATAAATTATACATATACAGTATATATAAGATATTTTGTAAATTTCCTACTGTAAATATATTAAAACTTAATTTTTGATTAGTAATATGCATTGCTAAGAACTTCATTTGGACAACTTTAAAGGCGATTTCCTGAATATTTAGATTTTTTTTGCACCCTCAGATTCCAGATTTTCAAATAGTTTTATCTTGGCCAAATATTGTCCTAACAGACCATACATCAATGGAAAGCTTATTTATTCAATTTCGAAAAATTGACCCTTATGACTGGTTTTGTTGTCCAGGGTCACACACACACACACACACATACATATACATATATATAATATAAAGGTTTTTATTTCATAGAAATGTCTTATCTCTGTTGTGTTACTAATTTTGCAACTTTAAGTGTTTGATTAATTTGTAAATATATTTGAAATACATCTTCATTTCAGGCTTCAAAGCAACAAAATGTGATTATTTTAAAGGGGGATGATTCTTTTCTATACCCACTGTAGGTTTAAGTAAATACAGTAATTTCTTATAATTTCTAGATAAATATTTGTAAAAAATAATTATAAATATAGCTGCAAGCAGCGATGACGGGCCCAAGCCCGGTGTCACCGCAACGGCAGTGGCATCAGGAAAACGGTGCACAGCGGGCACATGCATTAAACCCTCTGGCAGTCTGGCACCACTGTATATATATATATATATATATATATATATATATATATATATAGTTATATATATATATATAGTTATATGTTTGAGTAAAACGTAATTTTGGTTTTAAACTACTGATGACATTTCTTCCCAATTTTAAATAAAAATATTGTCATTAAGAGCTTTTTCTTTTCTTTTTTTTTTTTTGCATAAATAATTGGTGAATTTGACAATTGGTAAAAATAACACAAAAAAAAAATGTTTTCAGACATGTTTATATTCATTTTTAGACAACACAATACCAATGTTGTAACTTCAGAAGAGTTAAGAAATCAGTATTTGGCGGAATAACCCTGAATTTCAATTACAACAAATGAAAACATTTGTTATTTTGACCAGCTGTCATAAAAAAAAAAATGTTCTAAATAACAATATTATTCTATGACATTTGGAAGAAATGTTATCAGATTGTTTTCAAGTGGTCTCTTAATTTTTTTTCCATAGCTGTATATATAATCAAAATTCATTTTATACATTTTATTCATCTGGCCCTTTTGTGGTGCTGTATGGCAAAATAAAAATCTGTTTAATGGATGTGTTAATTGTTTTGACAATCTGAAATTAGTTTAGAGAAATATGTCAAATTTTATATTTCTGTTTAGGAGTTTTAAAAGGCAAAAAAAAAAAAAGTATAAACAATGTTACTGCAATTAAAACATTAATTCATGTCCCTTTTCGGACACATGGTGGCAGTATAGTCCATGTCAGAGATAGTTGTGCTGGACCAATTCATGAGCAGAAAGACCAGCTGGAATGAAAACGATATGAGGCCGTTCTTATGACACTGAGGTTCTCATGCCTATGGGGCAGGTGTTCATGTGATGCCTGATAAGTGATACAATACTGTGCAGCTTGAGAATTTATCAGCCAGGGGCATTTGGGAGTAGCAACTGGGCAACACTCAACATGTTTCTCTTAACTAATATATTCATACATCTTGTACGTAAGCATTGCTCTTCACTGGGTTAGGTATTTTGGGGGATGGCGAAAAAAGAACCCACAGCACAACAAATGTCATGTATGTCTCGTCCAGTTACATGAAAAAATCCACGTTGAACTTTCTCAGTGCAACATTTGTTTGATTTACTGCCCCTCTTTGGTGCGATTTCAGCATTTAATTATTAATGCAATTGTATCTTTTTTTAGTTTCTTTGCAACTATGGCAACACCAAAGTGAACTTCCTCAACAGCAATGGCAATATGGCATTTGTTCTTGATTCAGCTGAATAAATATCTGTTATTATCAGCGTTGCTTAAAATGGCTTGAAGAGATACTGACATGTTTGAACAAGACTGACTGAAATATATTTGCAGCAAAAGTGGAACAAACCCTGGAGCAAAATGGGAGCAAGGAATTCTGGATAGTTGCAAAAAAAAAATAACCCAAGTTTATGCCTGACTTCCAGTATTTCTCAACTGACCTGGTGCTCATAAACTACAAAGATAAGTGGTATGGGCAGGAATTAACCTTTTTTTCTTTTAACCTTTATGTTATACCTAAATTGTCTCTGCAGAGTACTATACTATAAAAATACTATGGGCATTTTTGCTCCTAGATTTCAAATTTATGGTGCATTTTTGTTGGTTTGGGTTACATTTTGGTGGCATCCATTGCCCTTGTTAACTTCTTGTATAGACAGACAGACAGGATAGATAGATAGATAGATAGATAGATAGATAAACATTCATTTATACCCAAAAAAGAAATTGGAATCTTAGAAATTGGAATTAGAAATCGCTCTTTAGGATAACAATTGCAGCTTTTTACAGTGTAGATCTTTTAATTCAGGATTAATACACAGTTTATACAGTAGGAGCAATGTATGAACTGAACTTTTTTATTGCAAAATATGCATGTACAAATGTAAGGTTTTTTTTTTAAACATGACAATAGTGCAAACACACATTTTGGAAATCTAGAACATTTACAGCAAAAGTACATATTACACAAATACAATCAATTTGGCATAATGTATCATTCCCACATAAACCAAGAAGGAAGGAACAAAACAAAAGGAAGAGAAAAAAGGCACAGCAAAACAGGTATCAATCATGGTACATGAAAGATCTCATCATATTTCTTAAAAAAAAAAAAATAAGTAAATGTTTTATTATTAATTATTCTTAGTGATTTGATTGTTCTACTTCACATAAGAAATCTATCAGAGTGGGTATTTTCTTAAGAAATGTTTGTTTGTGAAAATAAAAATTGCGCCACAAGGATAAGAAAGTTAGGCTAATAGTAGATTCTAAAGATTTATTATTATTATTATTTTTTTTACATTTTTTTTACATCCTTAATGCGTAAATGACAGTTCATATTAACTTCAGAAAAACTATAGGAACTCAAAACATTCCAGAACAGCGATGAAACACTACATGAAAAAACATTGGCTAAATGACAAATGTCTTCACTTTCATTTTTACAGAAGGTGCATCACATATGAAATGAACTAACATGAAATCCCTGCATTGTTGTGACGTCATCGCTCTTGGCCAACTAACCAATCACCTTCTTATCCTGTCGCACACAAAGCGTGCGCATCGCGTTCACAGCCCGCTTCGGAATCCCGCAACGCCATTGGCTGAACGACGTGTCAATCACAGGATTATCCGCTTCAAGGTAGGTTGGTACAGACGCGTTTAAAAACGCCCAAGCAGGAGTACGCAATTACCGCGTTTTGTTTTATCATCACCGTGCCGTAATGAGAAGCGCAAGGGTCTTCTGTGGATTCCCTTGATTGACAGATCGCTGCAAAATAATTACTTTTTTTTTGTTTTTTTGCGCAGTGGCATTGTAGAAAAGATGCATTTGTGATTTGTATTTATTTATTTTTTGGTAGAAAGCATCCGTTTCCGACTACAGCTATGTCGTTTCTACTTCTGTGCCTTTTATAATTAGTTAAAGTTGCATTTAACTTGCATCTGCATCGCATTACACTGTTGTCCTGGGCTGTGGAGCTGGAGGAAGTATGGGACTGCCTGCGTTAGAGTTCAGCGACTGCTATGTGGACAGCCCTCAGTTCCGAGAGAGGCTGAAGTCTCATGAACTGGAATTAGAGAAGACCAATAAGTTCATCAAGGAGCTGATTAAGGATGGGAAAGCTTTAATTCAAGCCCTGAAAAGTAAGATATCTTTGCTTTGCTTACGAATGTGGGGGGGCATGTACTTTGTTTCGTTGTCTTGTGTAATAAACACACTGTTACAGATTAATAAACAAAGCTTCTGATTAATATATACTCCTTTAAGGGTCAGTGAGTGTTACTTAACGTCAAGACAGAGTAGAGAGCTTAAGATGTGTGTTTGGAGAAAAAAAGCCTGTTATTTATTAGAATAGTTTACATGTAGTAGCCCCAAAAAGTATTTGGATTCTCAAGTATCTTTTTCCAGAGCTATTTTACAATTGCTATAAAGCAACAAGGTTATTTTAGTGGATGTACGAAGTCATTTCCCTTCAGGTTTACACAGGTGTTCTGGTATAATAACCAGGAATACTTCCTCACATTAACTACCAACACTTCACAAGTGCATCACACACTGTCATCTCCTGCAGTGACCCACAGTTACACACCCCGCCTGAAATGTCCATTACCTTTCAAAACAAACACACTGACCCGACCCAGCAGATCGAGAGCTTACTAGAACTTACAGCCAGTTTGAGTCTCTGTGTTGAATACAGTACCGAGGCATGTTCCAGCTCCCAAGTTCCAGCTTTAAATTCCCTGGGGTTTGTGATATAAAGTTGTATAGCTGGAAAAAAAGCTTCATCTTTGATGTGGTTTCTAATACTGGAATTATCAGATTTAACAGCATTTGTCTGGGCAAGTCATGATTAAGGATGGGAAAAGAGAGATATGTTTGCTTTCAAGCCTTGAAAAGTAAGTTTGTAATGAAAAAAAGCATGAATTTCCACCCCTAAAGCTAATCATCAGTGGGGCATGAGTTGGTTGTACGAAAAAGAACAAATGAGATTGTACAAATTCACCACCAGTTTGTCAAAATCGTTGTGTTGGATTTTACATGAGACCAAACCGCTCCAGTCCTGTTTATCCATTGCTGATTTTTTTTGGACAAATAACTGGCTTATGTGATGTGTGACCTATTATCATGAGTGAGAGTGACCTGCTTCATAAACACTAACCCCATTAACTTGTTATTTTGTGTCAACATACAGCTTCTTCCCACAGTCCCGAGTGCTGAAATCACATTTAATAATAACCCCGCGAACACTGATTACAGCTCTTGTATTTCACACAGATGTATTTTTGATACCCTAATTAACATTAAAAGACAGATGGTGAGTTGAGCAGATTTTTCAGAGAAAATAAGCAAATGTTCTAAGTGACTCATGTTTTGGCAACACCCAAATAATGGCACAAGGAAGCATTGTTTCATAGAGGAAAGCATGTCATTTTTTGACATATGGTGTAGGGTGTCAGTAATTGTTAAGGTATTGTTACACTCTAAAAAATGCTGGGTTGTTTCAACCCAACTTTGGGTAAAATATGGACTAATCCAACTTTTGGGTTAACAGTTGGGTTAGTCCATATTTGACCCAAAGTTGGGTTGAAACAACCCAGCATTTTTTAGAGTGTACTTGTCAAGTTTGCATTTACTGTGAGTATGTTAAATACAAAGTGTAAATACAAAAAGTGTGTTGTGCGTTGCCAAAACTTGGTGCCACAATGCTAGAGAGATGTGAATGGGTGCTTGAGGCTTGTTATGCAGTTGCTAAGTTCTGGGTGGTGGCTAGTTTGTTTAGGATTGCACAAAATCACTAGAATATTCTGGTCTCTAGATATGGCTCAGGTTTAGTGCAAGTCTATGGGATTTAACATCAAAGTTAATGTGTAGCAAGCAATGTCACTGCAGTCACATTTCTACTGAATGACTATGGCTTGTAAAATTTCGAATTGGAGTATAGTCACTAGATTTTTTGTTGCTACATCCAAAGGGCAAGCAATTCACACTCTTTGTAACTTTGGTACACAGTGCTCGGTATATCACAATGTCTGAATTCCCTATCAGTCCACCCTTCCTCTTTTTTTTCTTAAGTAAACGTGTGTATGAGTTTGTTCTTCTTCATTCCACCAATGACTCATTTGTGATTTCCTTTTTTTCTCCATCTGTGCTGAGTGGGTTGTCACCTCTGAACCTCTGTAGGTCAGCGTGAATGGCTGCTCCGTATCGCTGCGTCACCGCTGTCATCTATGCTTTATCGATGAGCCCAGAACTGCAGTACGGTTTGAAGATGTGCGTCACTGTCGCACACTTTTGAGCATGAAAATGTGGCCTTTTCCGGAAATAATTTTTATGTTTGCTGGAGTGACTAACATGACATTGTGGTTCATGGTGAATACGGATTGTTGGAAGGTCAGGGTGCGAGTTACGGAGGTTTGAAAATCGGTTTGAATTCTTATGAACGTTTCAACAATGTTCACACAATACGCAATAGTTAGAGTACAGGTCAGAACACATATTAACCTAATAGATGCTTGTGAACAGAAGTCACATTGGTCTGAAGAGGTTACTATGGCAACAGTATGCTGGCTTATACCAACGCCTGATTGATTAATTGATTAACAGAAGGGAAACGTACATTTTCTATCAGATTGTTTTTAGGGAATTTTGAGTTGAAATTGTGTAAAAGAAGTGACATTTAAGCTCTTATT